CCCTGTGCCTAGTGCAGAGGTTGTGGACGTTGGAGGCCTCCCCCCAAACCTCGATGAGGTCCACGATCTCCGCACTAGACCAGGCAGGCACCCGCCTTTTGCAGGCCCTGGGCAGGATCCTGGGAGCCGCCAGCCTGGTGCTGGGAAGAGGCGGAGGGCTGGGTGGCACCATGCCAGGTGCAGGGTCTGCTGGCTGGGTGCTGGCAGGCTTGCACCTGGCACAAGCACCGTAGCCAGCCCGTGCCCCTTTAAGGGCTCTGGGGCTGGGAGGGGGGCAGATGAGTTTCCCTGGTGGTGCCCAGAGTGGCCACCAGGGCAAGCTGGGGAGGGCTAACCTCCCACTAGTTCGAATTAAGGGGCTACACAGCCCTTAATTCAAACTACTTAATTCTAACTAGACGTTAGTCCTCGTGGAATGAGGTTTACCTAGTTCGAATTACGCGCTCCGCTAGTTTGAATTAAGTTCGAACTAGCGGTTTGCATGTGTAGCACCTATCAAAGTTAAGTCTAGAAATAGAATCCAGGAATCCTGATTCCTGGTTTTGTTTTTAATCCAATATGCCACTCCTTAAAGGCAAGTCTGATTTCTATTTACATTGGTTCTATTGCTCAGCAGAAAGGGTGGAGGGAATTTTGTCAGTGGTAGGAGATATGGGAACACCTGCAAGTATGTGCCAATGGCCGGAGAAAGGAGTGGAAACTGAAAGACAAACATGTTTGGAGATATTCAGTTTTCTGCATTACACACCATAGCAAACATCTAACTCCTATGGAAGAGGAGAAGAGGAGAAAAAAGAGACAGAGAACAAGACACCTCTTCTGCGTCTGAGAAATATCCGTCTATTCCATTCCAGTAAAGATCGCCTTCTAAGGCTTCCAGGAGCATCCAGCAGCAATTCTCTGGTTTATGCCTTCTTCGTGTTTATAGTAGCATTTATGAACTGCCACTCACAGGGGCTACGTCTACATTGGCACCCTTTTCCGGAAAAGGGATGCTAATGAGACACTTCGGAATTGCAAATTCTGCGGGGATTTAAATTTTCCCTGCGGCATTTGCATGAACATGGCTGCCGCTTTCTTCCGGCTCGGGGTTTTGCCGGAGAAAAGTGCCAGTCTAGACAGGATCTTGTGGAAAATAAACCCTTTTCCTACTTTCAAGTAGGAATAAGGGATCTTTCGGAAAAGGGTTTATTTTCCGCAAGATCCCGTCTAGACTGGCGCTTTTCTCCGGCAGAACCCCTAAATTCCAAAACCTTGCCCCAGTCATGAACCCCTCTTGCACCCCAAACTCCTGACCCTGCCCTGAGCCCCTTGGACCCAAACTTCCTTACAGAGCCTGAACCCCAACCCCTGCCCCAGAATCAGCTCCCAACCCAAATCCCCGCTGCATTTGCAATTCCGACTTGGCTAATCTGCATCCCTTTTCCGGAAAAGGGTGCCACTGTAGACGTAGCCATATACTTGTGTGAAGATGTATTTCAAAATAGCAGCTGGGCTTAATATAAATAAGCTCCCACAAGTCAAATCTGCCTGAGTTTCTGGAATCATGAGAAACTTGCAGAGAGAACTGTTTAAAGCATTTATGGAGTGAAGATTTGCCAGTAAGCAAAGGACTATAGAACTGAGTACAAAACCGTCACCTTTTTGTGGGGTTCTTTGGTCATTTTCATACTGCCAAATTACTGCCTATACAACCTTAACTC